CTGCCACGAAATCTGCACATCGAGATTCACAAAGTGGTGCGCCTGCCACGAAATCTGCACATCGGAGATCCAAAAGGAGCAACTTGAACGAGGCTTTCGCAAATTTTGAAATGCGTTTCAGAAATGCTGTGCCTGCCACGAAATCATGCCTGCAGGTCACACGAAATGCTGCACTGGCCACGCAAAATCATCCTCAAGTTCAAATTCCAAAAATTCGACCCCTCTCACGAATTCAGCCGTTTCACCTGCGCCTGCCACGCGAAACGCAGTCCTGCGAATGACACACGCCTGCCAACGTTTTTGCAACGTCCACAAAACACTGCGCCTGCCACGAAATTTGCAAAGGCTCCGATTCCTTGCGCCTGCCACGTAAAATGACCTTTCCGAGGCTCCAATGTGTCGAATTCCTTGCGCCTGCCACGCAAAATGCACTTCATGTCCGAAAACGAGCACGGCGCCTGCGCGAGAGCACCGTCCCGGAAGAGCGAAAACCGCGACGCCCACTTTATGCGAGCCTGCGCAGTCGAAATGGACATGAGGAATTCAAAAAGTAGCTTTTGCGCGAGCCGGCCCACGCAAAATGCCGCAACCGCACGCGCGAACCCTGATCTAAACCCGGCCCTTTCCTATGTCCACGGAGCCTACCTCTGTCAACAACACGCCAACTCCAAAAACCTAGCGCAAACCCGTGAGTCCGAACGCACACGTACGCAAGCACAAACGGCAAAAAATTGTTTGATACACCTCTTAGACTTTTCACACAACACCCTTGAAGGGATTCTGGGGTGACACTCTTGTAGGACAGTCTTCTAGGGCACGCTCGTGTAACAATTTTGTATATCACTCTTGCGCGACACTGTTCTAAAAGGACGTTCTTACCATCCCCCCCACACTCACGCACACACACACACACACTTAGTCACAGGCTCATTCAGTACCAGAATCTACGAGGAAATGTATGAGGGAACGGAAAGGCGCAAGGTCCGCGCAATTGAAGTGTTGAACATTGTTTTGCGCTGGCCATTTACTGAGTACTTAGCGGTCTTTAACTACGTGCAATAGTTAGAGAGCGGGACGTTAGTCTTAGACCGCCCGGGTAGAGTAGACTAGAGAAGGGACAACAGAAGGAAAGGCACCGACACACAAGTGTGTCGAGTACCATTTCCTTCTGTTACCCTGATTGGAAGCGCAGGTACGTTTACAGCCCTCACCAGTGGCCCCCTGCAGATAATGCTTAAAGCAAGATTCAACTCCTGGATACGGAGTGCGACGCACACAAGGTGCCGCAGTGTGGCGCTCGCTCCAAAATAGTCACCTAACAAGCCCTGGACAGAAAGAAAAGGAATAGAAAAAGAGCAAACCAAAGAGAGCAAGAAAGAAAGATAGGTGTAGAGAGGTGTGCATGTCTGCTGCGCGAGCGGCGAATTAGGGGCTCAAAACCTGAATAGCCACCTAACAAGCCTTAGAAAAGGAGAGAAAGAAACACAGAAAGAGCAAACCAAGAAGGCAAGAAAGAAAAATAGGGGTAGTCGTGCGTGGCTGCCTATGGCAAATTACGTAGTCAGAGCCTGAATAGCCACCTAACAAGCCTTAGAAAAGAAAGAAAGACAGAAAGAGCAAAAACGAAAAGGGCAAGAGAAAAAGATAGGTGTAGCAAAAAAGTGCGAGACCAAGGGGCAGGGAAACGAGCCTCAAGAGCGACCTAACAAGCCTGAAGAAACACCTAACAAACGAAGAAGCCGCAAGAAAGAAAGAGGGGGGAGGGAAGGGGTGGAGGTTTATTCTCCGTATGCTTGGCGGCGTTGGAAACCGTAGCTCGGCAGCATTGGGGTCCGGTGATTCATGGGTGAGACAATTTCATTCCAGGGTCAGAATCCCAGAGTGCAAAGCGGTTAAATCGATATGTGATTCACAGTGGTTGCAGCGCCGTTTGCGGGGATCACACTGCGCACCCAAGTGGCAAAGCGCAGCGATACACACTTAGTCACAGGTTCATTCAGTACCAGTATCCACGGGAAAAGGACTGAGGGAACAGCCAGGTGCAAGGTCCGCGCAATTGAAGTGCTGAACATTGTTTTGCACTAGCCCCTTACTGAGTACTTAGCGGTCTTTAATTACGCGCAATAGTTAGGGAGCGGGACGTTAGTCTTAGACCACCCGGGTAGAATAGACTAGACAAGGGACAACAGAAGGAAAGGCACCGACACACAAGTGTGTCGAGTTCCATTTCCTTCTCTTACCCTGATTGGAACTAGTAGCTGAATACTTGGCGGTCTTTAATTACGCGCGCTAGTTAGGGAGCGGGGCTTTAGTTTTAGCCCGCCGGGGTAGAGTAGACTAGATAATGGACAACAGAAGGAAAGACGCCGACACACAAGTGTGTCGAGTACCATTTCCTTCTGTTACCCGGATTAGATGTGCAGGTACGTTTACAGCCCTCACCAGTGGCCTCTTTGGTGGCCATCCACCACTGGTGAGAGGGATGGCCCCCTGCAGCCGTTTCGAGCGCTAGGCCATTTTTTGGGCCAAACCACGGTCACAAAACAGGCCACTGCTATGATCGTGCGGAAACAAGATTTCAGGGCAGGGTCGTTTCGCGTCACACACGCACAACCTTAACTTTGCTCCCATAGCGATTGCTTGCCAAGCACCCTCAGCCACTAGGCAATCACGCTTTTGAAAGGAGTTCCCACCCTGTAGGTCTACAGCAGCCAGGCTCGTTGCTTTCCTCAACATCAAGAGACGCTGCCATGGGGCAGATCAGATATGGCATTCAGAAACGCATGGCGGTATAGCCATGCTCCAGTTTCTGCGCTCAACGACAGACCGAGATGATACGTTCTCCGATGTCAAGTTTCCCTTTGGCTGGAGCCAATTGTTGTCCTTGAAAAGCAGACCGCGATCACGTGCGCCAGACCGCCTGGCATGGTTTCGAGGGACGGTTGCGGATTGCGAGCGCTCCAAGCGGAAGTTGTTTCTGCGCCGTGGTCTCCGACATGTTGAAAAACAACATAGGCCAAGAGATTTCCAAGAGATCCTTGAGCCGATTCGATTGGGTTGTTGTCAGGTTGGCTGATCTCGGACAAGGAGTTCTGCGCTCAGTGCTTCAGCGAACGGGTTCTTAGGCAGCTCGATCAACGGGCTTTGCTGCCGCCATTGGGCAGCAACCACGCGCTTCCTCATACTGTTTCTGGCGTCAAATGGGCGGAACAAGGCAGCCGTGTGGCCCATCATTCTTCCCAATGAGTGCGGATTCCCGATCGGTCTTGACCGCGAAACTGAGCAGGGAGCCGGTCAACTTGCAGTCACCCTACAGATCAAAGACCTCGTTTTATAGGAGTTTGTCATACAAAAACACAACTCAGCCAGACAGGCACCCACCCATGAAGCAACACTCATAGGGTTGCTTACTACTCGCCCAGGAAGGTCGGACACAAGTCGGTCCAACACCCCACGCAATCAACGCTCTCATTAGTCAAAACTCTTCCTGCAAACAAGGCCTTTGGTTCCTTGGCTGACGCGTATGAGGCCGTTCATCTGCAGGCACTTGGGTGCCAACAATCCGCCTCACAGCGGGAAGGAGCGTGGCTTGAGAACTGGCGACTTGGTAGTACAAATGTAGTGCGGGAAACAATTTCTGGGAGTTCGGGCAACTGCCGCTTCAGTGCTGGTAGTAGAAATGTTTTGCGGGCAGCCGCTTCTGGGAGCTGCGCCTGTATCTCCCTGAGCCATTCCCGTGCGTTTTACGGTGTTTTCTGGCCTTCCGGTTTTTTGAGCGTTTTGGATATGTGTTTGGAGTTTGTTTGGGTTCGAATGGTTTTCAAGGATTCGTGGTGCGAGTTCTGCTGCTGAACGGCCCTGCATTATTAGCATTTTGTGTGTGTGTATGCTTTTCGTATTCTTTGCCTCTTCATCTTCATCTTTTTCTTGCTCTTGCTTTTGTTTTTTCTCTTGCTCTCACTCTTCTCTTCCTATTTTTCTTCTTTCTTCACCTCTTTTTACCAAAAACATCTCCGATGCTTGGGTTCTCGTTTAGTTGATAGAGGGGGGGCAGAGCGAGACGAGGCAAGCATTTTGGTGGAAGATGGGCGTGGACGGGGCTGTGGATGGAAGATGGAAGGCGCGATACAGGCTGTGCGTAGAAGATGGGCGTGGACGGGGCCGTGGATGGAAGATGGAGGGGTGCGATAGAGGAGGGTGGACGGGGTGTCAGTTGATTCATGGGTGAAACAAAATGAAATCAAGCCATAATCCACAAATGCAAGACGTTAAATCAAAATCTAAATCCACGATGGCTTCGGGGCCCCCTTGCGGGGATCACACCACGCACCGAAGGCCCAAGTGGGCACATAGATATGGTTTCATTCAATGCCAGAATCCACAGTGAAAGGGATGAGGGAACGGCAAGGCGGTGGAGTTACTGAGTACTTAGCAGTCTTGAATTAAAGCCGTGCATAGGGGAGTAGGTTCCATGGGAAGCGAGACGAATGAATCGCTTCAAATAGGTAGAAAAGGAAGTGAAGCCTCCTGTTGTATAACTAGAAAAAAGAAACCTCGTGTTTATAGCTAGGGGGCGAGACTGACGAATCGCCCCAGATAGGGAAGGACAACAGAAGGACAGGAACCGACGCACACAGTCCGCCGAGAACCATTTCCTTCTGTTATCCATTAGGTTTGGGTAGGTGCAGGTACACAGTGGAGCGTCCCCCACTGCATCAGCACACACTGATACCCCCTTCGTTGGACGGGCAGTATCAACGGTGACCCGTCCCCCTGCTTGCAAGTTGGGAGAAACAAAAGGAGACGGAGAAAAACCCTTGGATACAGGGTGTGACACACACACACACACAGAAGAGCGAAGATTCGCAAGGAAAATTATCATGTCTAAGGAGGGAGCAGGTGCCTTGAAGACCGTCGCTTTGAAATGGCTCCTAGATATAAAGGGAAGCTTAGTTACAAGCTCGTGTTGCTTGAGGGACATATTGCTCTTGAATTAAGGAAAGGCCGCTGCGAAGACAAAGCCCTAATCCCTACGGCCCACGCAACCAAGAACTACAGTGTGTCCAATACATGCAATTTTGTTTGTGAGCGTTCTGCCTGGATCTTCCACAGGTAACAAGCTTCGAGGATCCAGAAGAATAATTGAGGCAACACCTTCTCCAGCGGCCTGCCACGGGTAGAGCAACACCAGCTATAGATGGAGTATCAAACACTTCGATTTCTTTGGATGAGAACGTTTGACAATGTTTGACATGCATTTGGCGAAGATCGTTCAACCTTGGCCTCCACCAGTCTGGCCATCTCCAGGCACAGGGAGGCACCGAAGGAATGGCCCGCAAAATAGTACGGAGCTGCACTTACAGCACGAACCTGACTCGAAATGAGAGCAGCCCTTTTCCAGAACAGGTTTTATCCTTTCCTACTTCTGTCTTCTAGGAAACATTGGAAAGAAACATTGTTCGTTTGCAATGTCCGTCTCCTTTCTCCCCTGGCATTTTTTCCTTGCATCAAAATGTTACCCTCATTCGCTTTACCCAACTGCAATGCCTCCTCCAAAATCATACTTGCCAACGCAGTCAATGTGCTGGGCCACCTGCCGGAAATTCGTGCATTTGAGAGCAAAACAGATTTGGAGTCATGATGAGTCATGTATTGGCTGAATGGTCTGCAACATAGGATCCGTAGAACTCCACAACCTGGAGCTGAACTCTCTGGCACTGGCATGGAGTGCCTTCCTTTAGGCGGACCTCAAAATTAGGTTTATCATGGTTTATCCGCCAGCACTGAAAGCGAAGCTCACCTCCAGTGGATGGTAGACATAGGACATAGGATTTGATGAGGGCGCTGCGTGGATGGATGAGGGCAAGATAAGGGCGACTTTGGTGTGGCTTTGGATGAGGAGTGGCGGGACCTAATACAGGCTTGTGGACACGAAGAGCTAGACAATGAACGGCAAACCATTTGTGGTGAGAGAGAAATATGGTGACCAAGGGAAGTTTGCTCTGAATCACCGCGAAGAGTGGAAAGCTTATGCCTTGGTGGAAAGTGGCTTCCAGGCGGTTTCCAAGTGGGTGCGAAGCTAGGCTGTAGTCATGGGGGCTGGAGCGCTTAGGGATTGCAGCAAACGGATCGCAAAGGCATTGGAGTGGCGGCGAGAGGTTGATGGAGGGATTCGCACGAATGAATTTCGTTTTTGGGAATCGCAGCGCCTTCGGGGATCGCGAGTGCCTTGCAAGCGCCTTGGAATGGCTCTGTCAGGTTGGCAGTGATTCGCGCGAGTTGGCTGCCAGAGGTTGGCGGAGGGATATTGGGTGAGTTGGCAGTTCTGAGAGGGATTACTCGCTTGAGATAAACAAATCAAACAATGGAGCTTTCTACGAAAAGTAAAGAGCAGGTAATGGCAAATGGAGAGATTCCTGTAGAAAAGTAAAGTAAAGTTGAGGTCTTGAAAGAAGGGAGGGAACACAGAGGAGAGGCATCTATAGAAGAGTGGAAAAAAGTAGAGGTGTTTACGCAGAAGTATACAAACATAGACAAAGCAGGCATCTAAAATAAGGTGGAGCAAAGTTCTCCAACATGTTTATGTACAACTAGACAGCAGGTGAGATTTCTATATAAGAGCAAACAAGACGGTTTATATGCATAGGCGGCCCGTGCGGCAAGTAAACCCTGCATGAATGTTGCCACAGTGAAGACACCATCTCCGATGAGAGCAACATCGCATCTCAACAAGACATACTACAAAGTTCCTCGTTACTAGTAGCGATCAAAGAAGCTTCTTGTTACTAGTAACGATCAAAGACATACTAAAAAGCTCCTCGTTACTCGTAGCGATCAAAGACATACTAAAAAGCTCCTCGATACTAGTAACGATCAAAGACACACTTCTTGTTACTAGTAGCGTTCAAAGAGATACTAATAAGGTCCTCGTTACTAGTAGCGATCAAAGATATACTAAAAAGCTTTTTGTTACTATGAGCGATCAACGACATTCTAAAAGCATCTTGTTGCTAGTCGCGATCAAAGACATACTAAAAAGCTCCTCGTTACTAGTAGCGATCAAAGACATACCAAAAAGCTTCTTGTTACAATCATCGATCAACG